TGCTGATGAATGAATGAATGAATGAATGAATGAATGAATGAATGAATGAATGAATGAATGAATGAATGAATGAATGAATGAATGAATGAATGAAAAAAAACTGCGCCCGTCCCCACGCACCCGAATCTCAACGCAGGTCACAGGCACACAGTCAGGCACTGGCAGGTGAAGGCTGGCCCGGCAAAACAAAACGAAGGCTGCGACTGCGGCCCCCAGGCCCCCACCGGCCTCCAGAGCGAGCCCCTTGACCACGATATGGGGGAAATCGGGCCGCAGGGATGCCCGGGAGGCCGGGTTGCTGATCGGCTGCTGGCTGCGCTGCCCAAGGCTGGCTCCCTCGCTGCTTGACATGCTGATGGGTGGGTGGGTGAGTGTGGAGGGTGGGTGTGTGGGGGTGATCGGCGCGAGGCCGGCGCGATGGCTCTCTGTGAGCGGACGGGTGGGCTACTGTTGGCTATAATAGGCTATAATAGGCTATAATAGGCTATAATAGGCTATGTATAATATGTGCAAGGCTGACACAGGAAAGTGGCTGGGACTCAAGGTGGAAAGCGCAAGGGTAACCGAAAAACATTTTAGATCCACGGTCGCGGTTTCCCTTCTATGTTATTCGCCTGCAATGGAGCGCACTAAGGTTGCCTTCGTCAGTGCCGGCCAACGGGCCAGCAAGCCGCAAGTGCGCTTTGCTTTGTTCGAGTCCCCCGACCCCCAAGGCCAACACCTGAATGGCTTTCGCAAGACTGTGAATGGCGTTGCGCGAGCCGTGGGTGCCTATTCACCCTCGGCTTTGCAGCTGTCACTCGACTCAAATGGAGAGGAGGTTGTGGACTCGGACATAGCCTACCACATGCTTCGCCAATGGCGCAAAAACGCAAGTGCTGACGACTTTGAGGTGGATGAGAACCAGCGGCCCACTTTGTTTTACAACATCCTCCCGGTGTGCCGCCGCCGCCGCCGCCGACGCTGCCATTTTGGATAATTGGAGAGTTGGACCACCAATATGTCCCATTAAGAGGGATGAACTGCCATTGCAACACTAATAAGCTCCGCATGTATTGCAGGACCCCAACAACCTGGCGCAAACGGGCGTGACCCCCATTGCCCTTGTAGCGGGTGCACCACACACGGGCGCATTCACAGCGCCATCTTTCACGGCAACGGCGGGCTAATCTGGGTCCTCCCCGGCAATACCAGATGATGTGCGCGACAAAGGCATGGAATATTGCAGCAAGTATCACTCCCAGCTAAAGGGAGGTTAGTGTAGGAAGAGATGTCACATGGCTTTTCCTTCGCAGTTTTGCAACTAGATTCCTTTGCATGAAAACAAGCCATGTGGTGATGAGCGGCATGTTTCCTTTCCTATGCAGGATATTGGACTGTGGGCAAGCCTAGTGTGCCATGCCCTTTCCCTGGAGGGACGCACAACCCCAAGGATGTGCAGATGGCACATTGGGGGCTTGGCTTGACTCGGGCAGTGCAGCTGACGGGGTGGTGGGCCGCCCAGGTACGCGACCCTCCGATTGACTTGCCACCTGTGGCGATCCGGCGCAGCCTAACCAAGGTTATGGGCACCCAGAACAGCTCCCTGCGCGCCCACTACGCGGACGGCGCCAAGCCGCCACGCATTTTGGCGGACCGTGTAGCGCAAGCGGACTTGTGGTTGGCTGGTGAGTACAAGACGCACTGCGATGAGCACGGTGCAAGCAATGCCAAGGCGGTTCCAGTCCGTTGGACAATGGGAGGTGTAGACAATGCAGAGGTTAGTGCATTACAAAAGGGCGACGCAGGGAGTCATAGAACTTGCGGCACATGATGCATTGGTTGCGCTGTATACATCCCATCAAGACGTATGACTAATAGTCATGCTGTC